GTTCATCAAAGTTGTCCTAAGACAAGAACGGGTATTGTTTTGATTTTAGGACAACTTTGATGAAAGGTTTTGATCCAATTCAAATGATGACTACTGTATATTGTAATATATATTATGATATCATAATTATGTATTATAATACGCATTATACCTCATCCTATATTATAATACATATATTTGATTTATATTTATATAAATGAGTAATAGAAATCATATAATTATTATATATGATTTTAATATTAGATGTTAAAATATATAAATAAAAATTATTAAAAATTATTATACAATAAGTAGATAATATTTTATATTTAAATAATTGTTTTGGTGTTTTTTTCATAAACATTTTGATTTTGATATCTGTCTGGGACATTTTATGTTCACCTTTCCAAAAACAAAAAGCACATTTGCAGCTTTAACATTCAGATTATTACACTTTATGTCTTCATACATTCTAAATTTATATCTAAATCCATTTTTTAAATATACATGTTTTAAATATAAATAATATATAAAATATTTAAAATAAAATATAAATGTTTTTAGTAAAATGATATAATTTAGTAAAAATTTATAATTTTAATTATAAAATTGCCATTAATATTAAATAATGTTGCTGTGTTTAGGTGGAGGCCGGGGTTCTCTCTGTGGAGTCTCTCCTGCAGACGCTGCAGATGCAGCTGGCCGAGAAGCAGACGCAGGTGGTGCAGATGATGGAGGAACTGGAGAGACAGAAGCTGGAGGCGGTGCAGTGCAAACGACAGTGGGACGAGGAGAAATCTGCCCTCACGCAGGACCAGAATGCATTGCAGGCGGCACGCAACAGCCTGAGCAGCCTGGAGAGACGGGCGTCTGAGCTGCAGGCGGAGCTGGATGCGGAGAGAGACCGCGTGAGGAGGCTGGAGATAGAGAGAGACAGACTCCAGGAGACCGTGAGACAGCTGGAGGACAGACTGAGAGCGCTGGAGAACAAGAGCGTGAGATCGGATGCCCGGCCGCAGGATCGAACCCGTGACTGGGTGTTGCAGACGGGAGACGCTCTGACGCTGGAGTCCAGCACAACGTCCCTGCGTGAGAGTTCAGACCCAAAACACGTGGACAACATCATCCTCAGCAGACTGCAGCTCATCGCCGCCAAGATCAACAGCCTGACCAGCGAAACCCCGGGCAGGTATGACAAGAGAGAGTTCCCCCAAAAACCTAAAAAAAAACACAACTTGCTGTTAATTCACTCACCCTCAGTCCATCCGAGATGTAGGTGGCTTTTTTTTTCTTCAGTAGAACAGTAAAGATTTTTAGCTCAGACCGTGGTCGCTGGTGATTCATAGAATGCAAGTCAACGGCTACCGACACTTTGAGAGTCAAAAAAAAGCATCAGGCAACACAAAATCAATACCCGTGACTCCTGACGATACAGGTTTCAGCAAAAAATCTTCTTTATGGTTTTACTGAAGAAAAAAGTCAGTTGTGCAGGTGTTGCAGCATGTGAGAGGTGTGTGTGTGTGTGTGTGTGTGCAGGTTATCTGGGGAAGCGCCGGATCGGGACAGTCTAGCATGGCTGTACAGTAATGTACAGGATGTGATGTCACTGTTACAGAATATCCCATCAGCCCCCTCTGCTCTCCCGGAGGTGAGTGATCACATTGACACAGAATGTGGCTTATTCATGTAATGGACCTTTATAAATACATGCTTGATTATATAAATGTGTGTGTGTGTGTGTAGAGTGCCGCTCTGTTGGCAGGAGGATCATCCAGTCTGCTGAACGAGCGTTTGCTCAGGCAGAATGCAGAGCTCACGGGATTCGTCAGCCGACTGACGGAAGAGAAGAACGACCTGCGAAACCAGTTACTGAAGCTGGAGGAGGAGCTGCGCAGATACAGACAGAAGAAAACCACCGCCGAGAGCATGAGTGAATCAGGGAATGAATCAGTGAGTCAGATACAGACAGAAGAAAACCACCGCCGAGAGCATGAGTGAATCAGGGAATGAATCAGTGAGTCAGATACAGACAGAAGAAAACCACCGCCGAGAGCATGAGTGAATCAGGGAATGAATCAGTGAGTCAGATACAGACAGAAGAAAACCACCGCCGAGAGCATGAGTGAATCAGGGAATGAATCAGTGAGTCAGATACAGACAGAAGAAAACCACCGCCGAGAGCATGAGTGAATCAGGGAATGAATCAGTGAGTCAGATACAGACAGAAGAAAACCACCGCCGAGAGCATGAGTGAATCAGGGAATGAATCAGTGAGTCAGATACAGACAGAAGAAAACCACCACCGAGAGCGTGAGTGAATAAATGAATGAATCAGTGAGTCAGATACAGACAGAAGAAAACCACTGCCGAGAGCGTAAGTGAACCAATGACTCAATGAATGAATCATTGAGTCAGTTACAGTCAGAAGAAAACCACCGCAGAGAGCGTGAGTGAATCAATGAATAAATCAGTGAGTCAGATACAGACAGAAGAAAACCACCGCTGAGAGCGTGGGTGAATCAGTGAATGAATCAGTGAGTCAGTTACAGACAAGAAAACCACTGCCGAGAGCATGAGTGAATCAGTGAATGAATCAGTGAGTCCGATACAGACAGAAGAAAACCACCGCTGAGAGCGTGGGTGAATCAGTGAATGAATCAGTGAGTCCGATACAGACAGAAGAAAACCACCGCTGAGAGCGTGGGTGAATCAGTGAATGAATCAGTGAGTCAGTTACAGACAGAAGAAAACCACTGCTGAGAGCATGAGTGAATCAATGAATGAATCAGTGAGTCAGTTACAGACTGAAGAAAACCACCGCCAAGAAAGTGAGTGAATGAACCAATGAATGAATCAGTGAGTCAGTTACAGAGAGAAGAAAACCACCACCAAAAGCATGAGTGAACCAATGAATGAATCAGTGAGTCAGTTACAGACCGAAGAAAACCACCGCCGAGATTGTGAGTGAATGAACCAATGAATGGATCAGTGAGTCAGTTACAGAGAGAAGAAAACCACAGCTGAGAGTGTGAGTGAATGAACCAATGAATGAATCAGTGAGTCAGTTACAGACCGAAGAAAACCACCGCTGAGAGCATGAAAGAATCAATGAATCAATCAGTGAATCAGTTATAGACAAAAGAAAGAAAGCCACTGCAGACAGCATGAGTGAGTTAACGAATAAATTAATCAGTGAATCAATTACAGACAGAAAACATCACAGAGAGCACAAGTGAATGAACCAATGAATCGGTGAATCAATTAATGAACACAGTGGTTGAGAATGTAGCTTTAGTCAAAGTTCTAAAAAATGTTTGCGATTAACAATTATAATAAATGTTCTTTCTATCTTTCTCTTATTCTGTCTTAGATTTTTTTTCAATCTTTTTCTAACTTTTTTGTCTTTCTTTTTTCTCTGTTTCTGTCTGTCTTTCTTCCTTTCTGTTTCTGTTTCTTTTTTGTTTTTATTTCCGTGTCTCTCTCTTTCTCTGTGGGTTTTGTGGGAAATGATGTTAAGTGGACATTCAGACAGTGTGGAGACAGCATCTATGAAGTGAAGTTGTTCGTATGAATAAACAGAGTTGCTCTCTCTCTCTCAGGCGTCGAGCCGGGCTGCGGTGGAGCGTCAGGAGCTGGTGTTATTCTCTAGCGAGCGAGAGTCTTGGGCTCAGGAGAGGAATCGTTTGGAGAAGTCTCTCCGTCAGGCCGAGGCAGAACTGATCCGCCTGAGAGGAGAGATTCGCTCCGATACGCTGCGGGATCTGACCGGAGCTGATCTGGACAACACGGCCCTCAGGGTGAGTGTTCACAGCAACACAACTCAGCGTTTACAGCTTCACGTACTCACCACCCGTCTGTCTCTACAGAGGATGTATGGGAAATACCTGCGCGCCGAGAGCTTCCGGAAGGCTCTGATCTATCAGAAGAAGTATCTTCTGCTGCTGCTGGGAGGATTTCAGGAGTGTGAGGAGGCCACGCTGTCTCTGATCGCCCGGATGGGTGGCTTCCCTGCACACACCTGTCTGGAGTCTGTGGGGGGTCAGCGCAGGGGCTTCACGCGCTTCAGATCGGCCGTGCGCGTCTCCATCGCCCTCTCCAGGTACAGACGCGCCACTGCGACCTTCAGAAACAAATTTACATGATTACTGACAGACGTGCTACGTCATTGAAGTATGTTAGATGAGAGTATTTCAATCATTTGAAAATACATTGCACATGTTCACAGTTCACATGTTGGTTAATGGTAATAGTGTTTATTAAAGCAATAAGTCCCAAGAAGCCGTGGTTTACAGTGAATTTATAACAGCTAAGGGGCGTTGTTAGGTTCGACACAAAGCGGATTTATAGCTGTTATAAATTCACTGTAAACCACGGCTTCACGGGGCTTATTGCGTTTATAAAACGGTTATTCCACATACGTAGTAAGGTTTCACAAAATAAAACAGAAAGCAAATAAAGTGTAATGATATTAATAAAAACAGTATTCTTCCACCAAACAATGTAGCTCCTCAGAAACAGTTGTGGTTCCAACAAAGTGGTTGCCGAGGAACACACAAACGTAAACAAAGGTGTATGTTACTTTGTAGAGTCATTTACAACAGCTTCGAACGCGGCTCAGCCAATCAGAATCAAGCACCGGAACTATCCGTTTGATAATTTACATTTTATTTGAAATATGTTGTGATTTAATTAACTTTTTAGTAAGTGGGTTAATGGGTTTGTTAATTTTTTTTGTTTTTTTACATTTTTGTGGTTTAATATATTTTTAGTAAGTGTTGTAAAAATATTTATTTTTATTTTGTATTTAGTAATTTTTTTAGTGATTTATTTATTTTTGTTCATTTTTACATTTTTTTTAACTTTACATTTTGGTGATTTAATAAATTTTTAGTAAGTGTTTTGTTTTGATTTGTTTTTATTTTACTTTTTTGTGTTTTTTAAAAGTAAAAGTAAAAAACACTAAAAAGTAATTTTTTGTGTTTTGATTCGAATAAGTATTTTTTTTAAAGTAGTTCTTTAAAGTAATTCTTAATGTTTTGTTGTGATTAGTTTTACTTTTAAGTTATTTATGTTAGTTTTATATTTTTCTGATTAGATGTTTTAGTGTTTTATTTTGACTGAATTATTTATTTCAAAATTATTTATTTTAATTGTACATTTTTATGATTTAATTTAATTAATTATTAGCTTTTCCTCACCTCACAAACCCTAGTTTGAGAATGCCCCTGTATTAATGTGAGTGAGGCATTAGTGAGATGTTTCAGGTTTAATCTTTAAATTCGTCATTGTCACAGAGTCTTGTTTTAAGGCCTGTTTCGGGCTTAAACATGATGTGTGGTTTGAGCAGTAATGCTGTCTCCTGCAGGATGAGGTTTCTAGTGAAACGATGGCAGCGAGCAGCTGGAGGAACTGCGACGGTCAGAAGAAACGGCATCACTCAGATCACAGGTGACAATCTCATATTACCAATACAGAACAACACATACATATTGTTGTTGAAACGGTGATACATTTTATTTTTCAGGATTCACAGATGAATAGAAAGTTCAAAAGAACAGCATTTATTTGAAATAGAAGTCTTTTGTAACATTATGAATGTCTTTGCTGTCACTTCTGATCACTTGAATGCGTCCTTGCTGAATAGAAGTATTAATTTGTTGTGTTAAACATTGACTGAAGGTGCTGATGTGAGGAACGAGTCGTCGTATCTTCACCCCGGCGGTGTGGAGGTGTTCAGAGAGAGACGAGCGAGCAGCCGCGGACGCACGGGACGAGACTCTCCTCGCTCCGCCGCATCGCTCCAGCACAGGTACAAACACACCAGCTCATCAGTGATCAGCATCATTACTGTAATGCCAAAACACTCATTCTCATCTGAAAAATAAAAGCATTTATAATAAATGAATATGTGAATAATTGAACATCAATTTTGGCTGAAAAATTAGCCTCTGAAAAGATTGTGTTAAATGAGAAAAGCATTGAATACACATTACAGGAAGTAGCTTTAGAAAGACATATTTTGATTCAACATTGCATTGAAGTTTTCTTAATGGATGTTGAAATTTAAATATTCTTAAAAAGAAACATACTCTAAATATGAAACTAAAAGCGCCAGTAGGCGGCAGCAAGTCACTGTTTTAATGAGTGAGTCATTGAATCATTAATTCAACTGATTCGTTCAAACGGCTGATTCATTCAGAAACAAAGCGACCGTCTTTATGACTGAATCACTTGACTCACTCGATTTGTTCAAACGGCTGATTCATTCAGAAACAAATCAAGTGACTGTCTTTATGAATGAGTCATTGAATCATTGATTCACTCATTTTGTTCAGTCGGCTGATTCATTTAGAAACAAAGCAAGTGACCCTCTTTATGAAGAGGTGACTCACCCGATTTGTTCAAACAGCGAATTTGACTCACCCGATTTGTTCAAACAGCGAATTAATTTAGAAACTAATAAAGTGATTGTCTTTATGACTGAGTCACTGAATCATTGACTCACTCAATTAATTCAAACAGTTGATTCATTCAGAAATAAAACTAGTGACCCTCTTTATGACTAAGTCACTGAATCATTGACTCACTCAATTTGTCCAGTCGGCTGATTCATTCAGAAACAAAGCAAGTGACCCTCTTTATGAATGAGTCACTGAATCATTGACTCACCCGATTCGTTCAAACAGCTGATTCATTCAGAAATAAAACTAGTGACCCTCTTTATGACTGAGTCACTGAATCATTGACTCACCCGATTTGTTCAAACAGCAAATTAATTTCGAAACGAATAAAGTGATTGTCTTTATGACTGAGTCACTGAATCATTGACTCACTCAGTTAATTCAAACAGTTGATTCATTCAGAAATAAAACTAGTGACCCTCTTTATGACTGAGTCACTGAATCATTGACTCACCCGATTTGTTCAAACAGCAAATTAATTTCGAAACGAATAAAGTGATTGTCTTTATGACTGAGTCACTGAATCATTGACTCACTCAATTCATTCAAACAGCGAATTCATTCAGAAGTGAAGGGAAGTGACTGTCTTTATGAATGAGTCACTGAATCATTGACTCACCCCATTCATTCAAACTGCTGATTCATTCAGAAATAAAACTAGTCTTTATGAATGAATCACTGAATCATTGACTCACCCTAGTGATTCAAACAGCTGATTCATTCAGAAATGAAACTAGTGATTCTCTTTATGAATGAGTCACTGTCAGTCGTCCTGCATCATGTTCATCAGTAACCGGATCGCTGTAAGATGGCACACAGATCTGGACAGGCGGCTGTGTTTTAAAGCGCGTGCTGATGTTTGTCTGTAGGTTTCACACGATGGCCGGTGATGCCGGAGGTTTACCGTGTTCACACCTGCAGAACTACGACCCCGACCGCGCTCTCACCGACTACATCTCCCGTCTGGAGGCCCTGCAGAGACGACTGGGGAGTGTGCAGTCAGGTAACCACGGCAACATGACGGACAGTCACGTCACCATAGTTACAGGAGAACAGTCACGCTGATCGTTACACTGTTGTTATGATTCCACTGATTCCGCAGATTTAAATCGAGTTTCAAATAATTTCATTTATTGGGTTTGTCTACAATTCAAAAATATGACCAGTCATTTAAAAAGAAAATGTGGACAACAATACTGAGCTCTTTGTTTCATTTCTACAGAAGAGCAAAACATCTATAATTACATCAATAATCAATGATTTCAGTACAGTTGAGCCTTGACTAAATATGTATTGATCTAAATATTTATTTCATGATGGGCCCACTGTCATTTATATATGACACAAATAACCATTTGGAAACAAAAATGTAGAATTATTATTATAACAGTATATATGGAATTATTATATATGGACAGTGATCCGTATATATATATATATATATATATATATATATATATACACATATATATATACACATATACATACATATATACATGTATATATGTATATGTATGTGTATGTGTATATGTGTATATATATATATGTGTATATGTATGTATATATGTGTATATATGTGTGTGTATATATATATGTGTATATGTGTGTGTGTATATATTCATTCATTCATTTATTCATATATATATATATATATATATTAGGGGTGTAACGGTACACAAATATGACGGTTCGGTAC